CATTATGTTTATCTGGGTCAATAGGTTTCTCGCAATTGGAAATCAGCGCCAGCCAGAATTCGACGATCTCCTTGAGCCACCGCCTTGCTATATGCCTGAAAACTCATGGGCACGTTTCGCCGCTCATGCAAACACAAACAAACCCCTGTTTTGGAAGCTGGTTGCAACATTTAAATTTGATATCATTTTTCAGGCTATCCTCAACCCAGCCTTTGTGTTTCTCGAGTACGCGCAGCCATTTTTTATGCAGCAGGTCCTCTGGTTTATAAACAAATACTCACAGGATCCGACAATTGGGCTGCGCTATGGCTATTTTGTCGCCTTCATGATGCTTTTAACTAGTATTATTGCCCCGATTGTGGACCAGCAGCAATGTTGGCACTCGCGGACAATCTCCATGCAGCTGCGTAATATACTTTTTAGAAAGCTCACGCAGAAAGTTTTATACAGAAGAGCTGCATCAACTCTAAATGTACAGGACTTAAAGGATGACCAGCACAGAGACATGTCGGATGGAAGAGTTTACAATATTGTTACTGCCGATGTGGCTAGGCTAAACAAATTGATAACACTGTTTTATCTTCTGTTTACAGTTCCTTTCCAGCAAATCGTTGGCGCGTGGTGCCTGTACAAGCTTCTTGGGCTTGCTGGTTTGCTTGGCACAGCGCTGCTTTTGGTTATTGTGCGGCTATTGCGGAATCTCGTTGCACGCGCAAAAAAGGTAGAGCAAGATATAAGCCTGCTTAACGATCAACGATTGGCAACTATAAGCGAGGTTGTCCAAGGCATTTCATCCGTCAAGTTGTTTGGCTGGGGATCGCGGTTTATCGAAATTATCGGGCGCAAAAGAGCAGATCAGCTGTCGATGATATGGACGCGTGCAAAGATCTGGGCGCTTGTTAATCTGCTTACTGTAGGATCAATGCCAATTATCAATTTTATCGTGTTTTTCATATTTGGCAGTTACAGCGGGCTTGGCGCAGAAGCCATTTTTCCAGCCATAGCGCTGTTTAAGATTGTTCAGCGCTCGGTGTACTGGCTGCCCTCGCTAATGGCTGACGTCACCGGGATGTATGTTTCATTCTGCCGCATTGAGGACTTTTTGGATCAGCCAGAAATTCAGTCTGTGGAAGCAAGAGCGGACACCGAGTCCAATGGAGATACCCTTGGGTTTAGTAATGCTGTACTGACATGGAGCAGATCTATGAATAACTGCTGTTCCCCCATGCAATCTACACCACCATCGTCATCGTCATCGTCATCGTCATCTTCATCATCATCATCATTAAATTTAATGCTGATGTCGTTTACGCTGCAAAACATTAACATTAGGTTCCCTTTGGGCAAACTAACATTGATTGGTGGCCCAACAGGTAGTGGCAAATCGTCGATTCTTGCTGCACTTACCGGCGAAATGGAGCTAATACAAGGCAAGATCAATGTGCCAATATTGGAAATGCCAGCAAATGCCTTGTTTAGTTCCTTACCCGGGTATGCATTAGACAACATTGCCTACGTATCTCAGGAACCATGGCTGCGTAATGCATCCATCCGCGATAACATACTTTTTGGCGAGCCCTATTGCCAGGTCCGATATGAAAAAGTGTTGAATATGTGTGCATTGCGCCCTGACTTGAGCATATTTGCTGGAGGCGACATGACAGAGATTGGCGAGCGCGGAATTACGCTTTCTGGCGGACAAAAGCAAAGGGTTGCATTGGCACGTGCAGTATACTCTAGAAGAAGTATACTACTTATCGACGACTGTCTATCTGCAGTTGATGCGCACACTGGCAGACACATTCTTCACAAATGTTTAGCAAGTAGAGATGAGATTATAAGCAACCGTACGCGTATCCTTGTTACGCACCACATGGCAATGTGCTTGCCGCACAGCGATTTTATTGTAATGATGGAGGGCGGCGAGGTTGCGTTCCAGGGATTGCCTGAGGCGCTGTCCAATACAAAAGATAAACTGGACCTTGGAGACGCCGGATCCGATTATGGTAGTGTTGATGCTAGCTCTATTGATTCTAATGTCAACGATTTTGGCAATGCTGGACAACCGACGCAGGACGAATTAAATAAGCAGCGTTTGCTTTCATTGAAGTCAGATACACAGGATCATGGGAAGATTATCGAGGAAGAGACGCGAGTAAAAGGCGTTGTCAAACTGGAAACATGGAGAGCGTATTTTGGCCCATGTGGCGGATGGAGGTTTTTAGTTAGTGCTCTTGTCTCTGTCGCTGCTTCTCAGCTCTTGTCCATGTACAAGGATTATTATCTTGCGGCAAGGCTAGACAAAGGAAGTAATAGCCTGCTGAAACCGCCTTTAAGCATAGAAAACAGCCCACAGCGGCGTTTTTTGGGATTGCTTGCTGTTTATCTTGCAATTGGCTTAGTTTCTGCTATTTTTGGCTCTCTGGCTCTACTCTATTTTTACACAAAGTCGATTGCCTCTTCTACAGTTCTTCATGAGCGCCTGGTTTTATCGATTGTCAATGCGACACCGCGCTTTCTCGACACCACGCCAATTGGCCGAATCATGTCACGCTTTTCAAAGGATATGCAGATTGTTGACGAGGATATCATGGAGTGCTTCTTTACATTTCTGCGTTCACTGCTTTCGATGCTTATTACGCTGGTTGCAATCTCCTCAGGTGTGCCATTGTTCCTCATTGTTGGCATCCCAGTCATGATAGTCTATGCTGATCTAACATGGAAATTCATGTGTGCGCAGCGAGAGACCAAGCGGCTTGAAGGGATTGGGATGGCGCCCATTCTTTCATTGTACAGTGAGATAATCCCAGGCTGCAGTTCGATCCGTGCATTTAATATGCGGTGCGAGTATATAGACGAAATGAAAAAGCGGCTTTGTACTTACCTCCATGCCGAGTTGATTATGAAGTCAATGAGTAGATGGATTGGAATGAGGATGGGGATAGCAAGTTCTCTGGTATCATTTTCCACTGCTCTATTCATTATCTTGAGCGCTGGCAAAATAGAAAGTGGGCTGGCTGGATTTATTCTTATATATTCTGTAAATTACTGGACAGATTCAATAGCCGTTGTGCGCCAATATAGCGATCTGGAATTAGCACTCAACTGCGTCGAGCGGATGCACCAATATATGACCATTGAGCAGGAGGCAGCACCGAGAACAGAAGCTGATAAGCAAACCTCGACCGAATGGCCATGTACTGGCGCTTTGTCTGTTAGCAATCTGAGTGCTGGATATACAGCTACCCAGCCTGTGTTGCATGATATTTCTTTTGATATCTGCCACGGAGAAAAAATTGGCATTGTTGGTCGCACTGGTGCTGGAAAATCGACACTATCTCGAACACTGCTAAGGCTTACTGAGCCTAGCAGCGGGATTATTGAGCTAGATGGGGTAAATGTGTCTACACTTGGCTTGGAGAAGCTGCGTCAAAACATAACGATTATTCCGCAGGACCCTGTGCTCTACAACGGCACAATTCGCTTTAATCTAGATCCCTTTGGAGATTACTCAGACCCTATACTGCTTGATGCTCTACAGCGCACAATGCTGCTTAAAAAGGAAAATACACCAACCACTTTATCGTCAACACAGCTTGACCAGATAAATAGCTCCAATTATCAACCCAGCAGCGTAGCTGTATTTTCTTCGCTGGATGACAGAATTGTTAGCAATGGCCAAAACTTATCTCTTGGGCAGCGTCAGCTGGTAGCACTGGCAAGAGCATTGGTACGTAGATCACGGCTAGTTGTGATGGATGAAGCGACTGCATCGGTAGATTTCGCAACAGACAAAAGCATGCAGCAAACTATTCGCAGCTCAGAATTTAGTAACTCAACTATTTTATGCATTGCACACAGGCTACGCACAATCATTGACTATGACCGCATTCTTGTTTTGGATAGAGGCAAGGTTATAGAGTTCGATTCACCGGAAAATATGCTTCAAAAAGAAGACAGCCTTTTTTATCAGCTTTGCAAAAACAGCGGCGAGCTTGATGTATTGAAGCGGATCCTTGACAAAAAGAATTAATTGCTGGTTTTATAAATGGCCATTGGTTTTATTATATTGAGTAAATAGTGGGCTATGTTTCTTTTTCCTATGTTGCTTGTACACTATTCGAAGCACCCAAGGATGCGCAGTCAAATAATAGAATTTTAACTTTAACTAAAAATTACACGTGAAAAGCAAACAAAACAGAATGCAGATGAAATCTCAGTGCTAATGGTACTAACGTTGTCAGGTTAATAATTTAATTGGAAATGCTGTAGATGGTAATCAATTTAAAAGAAAAATGAAATAAAGGATAGTTTTTTCTTAGCTCGTTGCCTTGTGGACCCAGTCAGAGCTATTGGTTAAATGCCTGCAACCAGCATTTGATGAAGATAAAGCCAGTCTTTTTTTATTATAAATAGGTAGTTGAAATAGCGAACGACGCGACTCAGGAGAGTAGCCGTCTGGCGGATAAACATAAACCTATTAGTGCGTTTAATATTCCATGCGTAATAACTTGATTCCATCATCCATTTAGTCACTCACTAGATAAATAAAAATAAGCGGATTTTTTTAGCACTCAAAATAGCGAAGTATATTGTGCATGAATATAACGAAATTAAGTAGACATAGTTTAATAATTAGCGAGAGGTCATGCGGAAGATTCCCGGCGTTGGGCGGCCGGTTCTGCGGTGGCAGGCGAAGGTGGCGGTCAGTTCCGTATGGGAGTGGGGTGAAGGATAATTTTCCACTCAACCCTTCGCCTCCCGGATCGAATTGGAACCACTGGTTAGATACCTTTATCCAGTGTTTCTTGAAAAAATATGCCTTCTTTTTGATTGTAAAGGAGTAGCTGAAGTCGTGGACGATGCAGCTCATGAGAGTAGATTTCCATCGGATGAACATGGCATCTTCGGTGCGCTGAATAAAAATAAGCAGATGCGCACTAAAAGTTGTAAAAAAAGAGCATATCTGGTACAATCGCAATTTTTTAGGGGATTGGGAACCGAGAATAGCTCAGCGGTAGAGCGGGAGACTGTAGTTGGAACTGCTAGCTATCTTTATGGTGCAGCTTATATTGTAATCTCTAGGTCCCTGGTTCAAATCCGGGTTCTCGGACTTGCTTTTTTACTTGTATTTGCAGTTTATATTAATACATGAGCTTTCTTTTTTTGGTTGGGTATGCATGGTAATTGAGTGAGAACTCAGCCGCTTCATTATTTTCACAACTCGTTATAACATCCACTTTTGTTTCCTCTGAAATTAAAGGATGTACAAGACTCTGAAATCAACACCAATAATAGCTAACGCTACAAGAAAAAGGTAGCAGCTTTAACTAACGGGGAGCATTTTTCTTTATCGCTTTCAGTGTTATTCCAAGAAAATAACATTAACCAAAGCTACAATAAAAAAGATTCCGCAACGGGGAATCGAACCCCGGCCACGACGGTGAGAGCGTCGGATCCTAGCCACTGGACCATTGCGGATTTAGAACAATTAGCTGGCAAGCTTAAATTGCTCTTCTGATTTTTGGGAAATTATAAATATATACCATCCTAATATAGCTAGCACAAACGGAGCTGCGGCCTCTTGCATTTTATGTCCCACTACTTCTGGGACTGCAAACACGCCAACCGCTTCTGGCTTCTTATAGCACGTTTTCTACAAGCAATACGCATCAACAAAAGCGGCACACCATTCCAAATCACAAAGGAGATGGTAGTTAGCACATTTGTCGGATGGAAAGCTACTATCCCAAACCCTGACGTTACCCATGGACTGGGAGTCCGGGAAATATACCGCTCTCATGCAGAAACCAACCTAAACGGCATCAAGCGCACCGGCGATGCCATGTTCATCCGATGGAAATCTACTCTCATGAGCCGCATCGTTCACGGCTTCAGCTACTCCTTTACAAGCAAAAAGAAGGCACATCTCTTCAAGAAACGCTGGCTGCAGGTATCCAACCAGTGGTTCCAATTCGATCCGGGAGGCGAAGAGTTGAGTGGAAAATTATCCTTCACCTCACTCCCATACGAAACCGATCACCGCCTTCACCATCTACAAGTCAACTACCAGCCAGACGATGTCGATACCTTCAACATCGGGCCTTCACCTGCCACCGCAGAACCGGCCGCCCAACGCCGGGCATCTTCCGCATGGTCTCTCGCTAACTATTAAACTATGTCTGCTTAATTTCGTTATATCCATGCACAATATACTTCGCTATTTTGAGTGCTAAAAAAGCATTTTATACACTCGTTTTGGTACTAAATATAGTACAACGTATTGGACAAGCACTTTCGAATCAATGTTTCTTAATGCGATATGCCCTTGGAGTTTGTTGTCAAAGACTGTGTATGCGCAACTAACAGCGCTTTTTCATTCGGTACATCTTTTGTTTTGTTTGGCCCCTACGTAGGTTGGCAATAATGGCCTCTCTTTTTGGGGTTGAATTTCATGTTTCAGCAACCTGTCTCCACATAGTCGCTAATCGTATGTTTTGCGTAGTATTTTTACTGAATTTTTGTATGTAAAGCATTGTTCGTTTTTCTTATATAATGCTTGCCAAAAATATTTCTGGTAAGTAATTCTTTGTAAAATGAAAAGTTGGATATGGAATGCTAATAAAAAATAGCCAAAATAGCAAAAAGAAAGATAATAGCACATAAAGTCTTTTTGTCCACTGTGCTACATTTGCTGCTTGTTGGCTCTCTTAGGCGCACAAATCTCAACGCCCAATACACAATACCTTTTCTTTTTTCTGTTATTATGTCCTACTTATTTTTTATTCTTATCTCGGCAACAGGTCATTAAACTACGGTGAGCAATAGTGAAAAGGGTAATCTATTATATACATAAGATGGTCATAAATATATTTTCTGCGGCAAAATTAAAACCCTTAGCTATTGTGCTTACTTTAGTGAGCATAGCATCCTTTGGTCTATTCTACTACCAGCAAAACCTTTTAAACACGGTTACAATGGGCATCATTTCCGCTCCTCCCAGCTCACGCATAAAGCAAAGTATATCTGGTCATTACGGCTTAGGAAAGCAAATATTGCCTCATGTTGATGAACTGTCTACGTTTGTTTCACTTTATCCCGCCAAACCAGATATTTCTACAACGATTTTTATGTTTCGTGGTGATTTTAGTAGCCCATTATATGATTTGTTTACTCTGCAAAAGCGCGCTATTAAATTCTGTGACAAGGACACCTCAATAACAGGCTGCGATATCAAGCTGCCAAACAACTATAAATGGGGAACCTTGTCTTCCAAACTCCTTGATGCATTGGATGTAATGTGCAGGTCGCCTAAAAAAACAGACTTTTATGTTAAGATTGATGACGACTTGGTTATGTCTGAGTTTGCATTGGAGCAGATGATTAGAAAGATGGCGACAACAACATGCCAGCTTGCAGGGGGTATTGCTGTCGACTATGAGTTTTACTGGGCTGAAGGGCAAATCTACATATTCACAAGAGCAGTATTTGACCATGTATGCAGTGTTCTGCCACATGTAACTGATGTTTATCCAAGTGAAGATATTACATTTGGCTATTTGCTAAATTCGACCGACAGAAGCAAGTTTTGTGGAGCATACAGCCCTACTAACCATTGGCATAAAGAATACAATGATAATAGAGTAAAAATAGAATATTTAAACCAACATAATGAATAGTTGGGTAGTTTATTATCAATACAGCTAGTATTTTACCTTGTCTCAAGCTTTGGGCCTGGCAAGCGCTTGTTGTCTGTGTATAGCGTTTATTTAATATAACTTTGTTTTACAGCTTATTTTTATTAGTGCGCTTCAAACTGCTTTATTCTTCCGCTTATCCATGTAGTTGAAATTCCTAGTAAATTATTGTATAAAGCCATTGAAATCGTATGGATAAAGGTTAGGGTGTAATTATATTTGTACAGAGCGTAAAAAATACATAGTAAAAAGGAAATATTACAAAAGCAAGCAAATTCTTTTGCAAAAGACTTGCCAAGAAAGCTGTGCACGCTTGCAATTGCAAAAAGCAAATGCCAGTGGTTTTTCTAAAATATAGGTTTTGTATTTAAATAAACAAGCCTTGATTTGGTTTTTTTGCTTGCTATTAATTCAAATATACATATTTACTCATCTTTTCTACTTTTAAAATTATACAGTCAAGTTTTTAATTTGATTTTTTAGCCTCGCAACGCAACTAAAGATGGTCTGCTATACCACACTACCTCGTAGATTCTTGGCGGTCGTACTTGTTTTATCGTGTATATTTTATCAAGGTTATTTCCTCTACTGTCAGCTTAAATCTGAGAATACCCAAACACGGGCACAATCGGTAGTATTAACTACTACAGCAGTGCCTCAAAATAAGCCATCCATAAACATTACTGCAGATCTCTTTACGTCGTCTCATGTCATAAAACAAATACTGCCTCACGCACCACAACTAGGCTCACTGGATTCGATTTATCCACCCATGGAAAATATTGCCACAACAATTTTTATGTTTCGCGGCGACTTTAGTAGCCCACTATACGATCTTTTCAGTTTGCATAAACGTGCTATCAAATTTTGCGACAGGAATACCACTATAGCAGGCTGTGACGTCAAGCTTCCAAATAACTACAAATGGGGAAATCTGTCTTACAAGCTTCTTGACTCTCTCAAAGTAATGTGCGGTTCGCCCAACAAAACAGATTTTTATGTAAAGATCGATGACGACCTGATAATGCCAGAATCCAAGCTGGAAGAAATAATTAGAAAAATGGCTACAACCGAGTGCCAGGTTGCTGGAGGCATAGCTGTTGATTTTCCGTTCTATTGGGCTGTAGGGCAAATCTATATATTTAAAAGATCTGTCTTTGAGGATATCTGCAAAAGGCTGACACCCAAAGTAATACATCCTGGTAGCGAAGACATTACGTTTGGAGTGTTGGTAAATTCAAATGATACAAATATGTTCTGTAACCTAAAGTCACCTAAAAACCACTGGCATAAAAAATACAGCGACCAGAGAATAAAGATAGAATATTTTGAACAGCATAATTATTGAAAGCACAACCTACTACAAATTTGAACAACGCGTAGCCAAGTTTGTGCTTTGAACCTAGTGTGTTGGTTGTTTTCGACTTCAATAGAGCTAGTGAATTTTGTTACTACAGCCTGTATATAAGCTATTCTAACACGCATAATCTTTCTGAAGAAAACAAATAAAAATACTAAAGCTAAGTGATGAGGTAAGTCTGAGCACAAAGGCTGTTGCAACAGGATCAGAAGAAATACAATTAAAGGCGCAAAGATGGCTGTGCTATAAAATCTAATATTAAACAAAAGTTTATTCGTAGGACTTTTTGTCTCAAAACAGATGGAAGCTTTGAACTTTAATGAAAGCAAAACAAACACGAACACTAAGCGTGAAGCAGGCACCATCTTAAACAATCCTACTTATAAACACGTTGCTCCATTAAAGGCAAATTATAGCAAAAAATATACGATTTATAGTAGCTTATGATTTGACTTAAATGCCAAGTAATAGCTTGTAATTGAGTGCTAGCACCAATATCCCAACCAATGCAAATATAACACGTGTATCTATTGTGTATTATGTACACGTTTATGCTTATGCCTATACAACAGATGAATAGTTAGAGCTCGAGCGGTTGAGCAATTTAAAACGCATAAAATCAATACAAAGCAAGCTGCTAAACAAATAGAACAGAAACAAAAACGCTTAGTGCTGTTATTTGAGATAAACCAATATCAAACAAATATATGCATAAACCGGAGCTAACTGGCCGCTTATAAAAACACGGCATATAGCTAAAAATGTGCGCATTGGAAGCATTGCTAGTAATGAGACTGCACAAGATTATGCCAACTGGCTATTAAAGCTTGATAAAGGAAGGGTGCCATACATGGGTAAATAGACAAAGTCTGTCAAGATTACGTTTAATTTTTGTATTATGGAAAACATCAAAGGGCTAGTCGATTAGATCTATAATGATATAAACTGGAGCCATTTCAACAGTGAGTGGAAAATCAAACGTGCAACCCTGGCTTCCAAAAACAGGATTGTGCACAGTATAAGCGATATTATAATTCCAAGGCTTTCAGTAGACAG